CTAATACACTTGATTGTAAGAGTATTTTAGAAAAGACAGTACTTATTTATTACAAATAACTAATTTAACAAACTTTTCTAATCTACTTAAATTAGTCAACTGGCTCTTATATTAAGGATTGAAGGTAGTATAAAAACTTGTGATTTCTAGAAGCTAGCAGAGGTCAGTTACTCGTGTTCTTTATTTCTCTGTGGCTTTGAAGGCATGGGACCTATGGACAAGTGGGAGAGGAACAGAGCTGATGGATTCAGCGTTAAAGGATGAATCGATACAGAAAATTGTGGTGCGAAGATACGTGAACATAGCACTGCTTTGTGTTCAAGAAAGTGCAGAAGACAGACCGACCATGTCTGATGTTGTTTCAATGCTTGGGAATGAGAATATAGTCCTACCTTTTCCTAAGCCCATAGCTTTCCTAAATGTAAGGGGTATCAGGACTTCAAGATCAGACGGAAGCTCGGCAGAAAATGTTTCTACTAATAACATGACTGCTTCGGTTATGGAAGCAAGATGAGTTTGTATTTCCCTATATGTATATTACTTCTTAGCAAACATTGCAGGTTTGCAATATAGGAGGTTTCTACTTCATTTTCTGTTATATCTCAATAAACTTGTATAAAAAATCAGGAATGAAGTAAAGGATTAGTAAGGAAATCATAAGGATATTGTTTTTGATAACCCTTGCTTGATTAAGCGACAAAGTCAAATACAAGTGTAAGAAGGTTGTTGTATTATTTACAAAGTTGCAAAATTCCGCAGGTTAATACCGCGCCCCTTTTGTTCTACTCACAGACATGGAGGGAGAAAGCGAAAATACAAATCAAGATTGAAATGTATTATTTTTAATATTGTTCCATTAATTTGAATACTGATGCCAAAGCCGCCTCTTTGGATTTATTGGTGCTTGGTTGTTTTTATGGCTTCTGCTATGGTTGACAAGTCAAATGTCTAGGTTCATGTCACCCTATTATTTTATTGATTGTAATAAGCACTCCTTTTGCCCCCCCCCCCTCTTGTCTTGGTATACAAGGCCACTTACAAAGCTGTGTAGAAGACAAAAAACTAGGTCAGAGCTCAATAAATTCCTGTGCACTAACACCGGTGGTGAATCATGTAAAATTGTTGTATCGAACGTCTCACGATAAGTATGTCGAACAGTCTGAACATGTACTCAATAATGACAGCCCAATCTTGCATTAGAAGATCTCTTATATTTTTTATTGAGCTGTAAAGAGGACGATTCAGGAAAATTTTGTTATGAATAAATGTGGGGGTTTCCATCGAATTAGTGGAGGCAATTTTTCAATATACTCTTTCCATTTTATAATATAATTAACTTATTTTTATAGTATAAATTACATTATAAAATGATTTTTATATTTATGATCGAAAGAGTAGGTTTTTCATCCTCTCTTGTGTTAATGTCAGCTGACAATTTTAAAGACTAAGGACTGATTAGTGATCACTATCAGACTGAAAGTGAAAAAAGAAGACTAGTCATGTTCTTATTATTTCTCTGATTCTTAATATAAGACCTAATTATTAAATTAATTTTGGTATTAAATATAAGACCTATTTATCATATTTATCAATTTTTTCTAAATTATTCTTATGGAAACTCCCTCAACTATAATCAAGTAAGTGAGGGAGGGAGAATATTAAGAAAGATGATTATGGTTTTGTAAGAAAAACATGTCATATTTCTTATAATTAACCAACTTACCTAACTTTCTTAATCTAATCAAATTAATTAAATAAATCTTACATTAATGATCGGAGGAGTATTATTTTTTTTTAAAAAAAATGTGTCAGCTAGAGTTTATTGGCTCGCCGCCCTCTTCTTGACTGTTCTGCCCCGGGCCGTGAAAGATTTTAGGTGGTTGAGGCAGCCGTTTACGACCTCTAATAAATTAGGATTCAATTTTTCCCCATAATACTCCTCCGGTCCTTATTATAAGACCCAATTTGACTTTTTATTTGGTCCTAATTATAAGACCCAATCCATTTTGTCTCTTATATTTATGCATTTTTTTCAAGATAATCCTTCTAATAATGATAGTTTTAGCCAATATACTTAATTAGCAAGGATATTTTAGGAATGACAACACTTATTTATTATAAATAACCAACTTAACTTACTTTCTTAATCTCCTCAAATAAGTCAATTGGGTCTTATAATTAGGACCGGAGGAGTATTATTTATTGTCATTTTCCTTCTAAAGAAATTAATGTAATTCCTTGTTCATCCCTTTCAAATAGTCACCTTCAACCATAATCTTTTGGTTGGAATCACAGTGAAATTTACAACTTTCTGGAAGGTCAAATCTGAAATTAGAATCATACTTAGTAACTAATTTGGTCCTCAAGGTTTTCAGGCATGGAGACCCTGGACTGAAGAGAAGCCATTGGATCTTGTAACCTACAGATACGATTCATCCATGTGGGATTGTTATCTTTGTGTCTAATCATATTATATGTTTTGGACGGAAGAAAAGAAAAGCAAAATTTATTCCACGCGTTCATTCTTGACGTGGATATAAGCATGAAAGTAAAAGAAAACAAAATAAAGATATGCATAATATATTATAAAATTTCTGTGTGTTTGTTGGGATATGGATTGCAGCTAGTTGCAGCATAAATAATCATTGGATTGAGTCTGACCCAGGGTTGAATGTGCTGTTGATACGTCTTTTTTGGACGTCCGTGTTCAGTGCTCATCAGATGATGTCAGATCTAATCTGAACAGTTCACATTTAATATTTTCAAATAATTATTTAAAAATAAAAAATTTATATTTTTAAAGAATGATAGTTAAGAGATTATCCTTATTTTTTATCTTATACCTATTAAAATAATTATTTTAAAAAATAAAATTAAAATAAAATTAAAATTAAATCTGAACAGTCCAGATCTGATGAGTATTGGGTGCTCATCAAAACTGATGAATACAAATCCGTCTTTTTTGTCATTAAAGTACAGTGCGATGCAGGGTGCAGACGGGGCTGAATATCCTCTCTTCATTACGTTCTGTGCATCATTATCATCAAATCAATTCCTCATTTGTCTATTGCAGCAATGGCCTCAAGTTAATCTTCGCCGATTTCTATCGAACTTCCTAGTGGTTAAGTTCATCGAGGTAAACCAAAATGTGGATTTTCATTATCTTATTCTAGATTAAAGAATTGCCTTCTTAAATCCGCTTGAAAACCGCTGTAAAGATCAACGCTTTGCTGGACTGCAAGAAATTCATGAAGCCATTGAGAAATGAAGGCATAACAAGGCATATTTCCGGTTGAAGATGTCTCAAGCAGCAACAAATCATAAAAACACTGTTCACTGAGACCCACATCCTTGAACCCATTACCCCTTCATCCATCGCAGCCAGGTCCGTGTCTTGCTTCCTTGACCTTTGCTGGGTGGCAAAAGCTATAGACTGGTGCATTGAGTGGCGATGGAGAACTTTATTGTAGTGCTTATTTGCATTAGTTTGCTCTTAATAAGAACCTCCACTTCGGAGCCAGCCTTTAAGAGATGGGGAGACCTTAGTTTCAAGTGTAGGAGTATTTGAGATGGGCTTTTTTAGTCCTGGAAAATCGAAGAACCGATACTTGGGTATATAATACTCCTCCGGTCCTTAATATAGGACCCAATTCTTGAGTTGGTTTTGGTTCTAAATATAAGACCCATTTATCATATTTATCAATTTTCTCTAAATTACCCCTATGGATACTCTCTCAACCATAATCAAGTAAAAAAAGGAGAGGGGGTATTAAGAAAGATGATTATGGTGTTTTAGGAAAATTGTGTCGCTTTTCTTATAATTAACTAACTTACCTAACTTTCTTAATCTAATAAAATTAGTTAAATGAGTCTTATATTAAGAATCGGAGGAGTACAAGCGAATGGACGAGTTAGCTAACGAATTAACCAAGGCTTAATAAGGTTTTGCCATTGGCTGCTCCGTGCTCTCCCCCCCTCTCCAAACAGACCCTAAAGTTTACTGACCCATCTTTCTTTTCAGGAGTGTTTAAGTAGAAAGAAAACTATAATTTTAAAAATATTTTTACAGTATACTAAATAAAAATATAAAAAAATTTATCTCGATTTATAAAAAAATATTTTTTAAAAAAACTTTTAGCATAACTCAAACATGCCCTCGTTGAATAATACTTCCGCGAGGAATACTCGTAAGAGTCTGACTTTTATTCAACATATTTTGACATGGGCCCACACACAAAAGGCCTATTAGAGAGAGTCGAGTCAAGGAGTAACAATTTCTGTCCTGTTCACCAAAAAAAAAAAATCTGTCCTAAAAAATTTTAGATTATAAAAGCAGATTCCATGTCACGGGTGACGCTCAACCACGGGCAACATTAATATAATCAATTTTAATAAAATATAAAGGAGTACACCGCGTTGATTCCTCTCTTTTGTTTTTTTTGACCGATGACCGCATTGATTCATCTAAACCAGTGAAACTCCATATGATCACATGAAATTCATGACTTCATTGTAAGTGAGACAGAGAACCAAGAGAATTTTTACACTTCAAAGTCGCCGTTACTAATTACTACGCCCTAACGAACTGCTTTTCTTCTGAATAAAACATGAGGTCAAATTAAAGTGAAATGTTAAATATCCAACAATATGGTGAATTAATGTTGGTTCTATATATTATATATAAAACGTATTTTATATATTTGTTAATTTTTTTTAAACTGAGCTTGTTGATGTTTCCTAATAATCAAACAGAAAATGGAGCAAAAATTAAAAAATGCTTAGAATGTTTTTAAAAAAATCATATTACTCAATATAATTAATATTGTTAATGTATTTGAATTAGTTAATTAGGTTTTAGGACGTTGGAGTAATATGTTGGTTTTGTTTGTTTTCCAGGCTCCCGCGTCCTGTCCAATACACACACGGAGATTTCGAAGAGGTCAAAGTCTGCAACCCTGGAGCAGTGGAGGGCTGGCTGATAGTGTCATTTAATCATGCCTTGCCCTCAAACGCTTGCTCTCGTCCATTCGGATAGCTGAACATCGGGATATCTGGTTCACGGACACCAACATGAAACTAAGCTGGACTCTCAATTCGTTCCTGAGTTTGATCTGGCTTTTCTTGCGTTCCACGAATGCAATCACGTACAAAGAAACGTTGGGGATGGGCCAATCACTTGGAACCTCGGATACCTTGGTGTCTGCTAACGGGAACTTCGAGCTGGGTTTTTTCACTCGAGGGAATTCGACCAAGTACTATGTAGGGATGCGGTTTAAGAAAGTTCCTAAAGACAACATTGTTTGGGTTGCAAATAGAGAGCTCGCAGCCAGCGATTCCAATGCCGTTCTCACTGTTACTGACGATGGAAATCTTGCAGTCAAGAATGACAGGATGGTGTACTTTGTCACCAACATTTCCGACATTAGCAACACCCATGTTATGCTCTTGGATTCTGGTAATCTCCTGCTGATGAACAACTCCAACTTGAACATTTTGTGGCAAAGTTTCCACAATCCCACAAATACCCTTTTGCCTGGAATGACGGTACGATCTGACGAAGGAACCAGTTGGTCGTTGACATCATGGACAAGTGTAGAAGACCCGAGTCCTGGAAATTTTTCTCTTGAAGTCGACAAGTCCATGGGGAGCGCTAGGTTAATCATCAGGAGGGAATCCGAGATATACTGGATTGGTGATGAGCAATCTAATTTCACGTTTCAAAGTATTGGTAATCGAACCTCCGCTATATGGGACACGGGCTATTTGACTTGGCAAGGGGACTACACTTCTCGGTTGGTTCTGGAAGTTTCTGGGGAGCTTAACCAGCAATTTTGGTCACAAAATACTATGCGGTGGGTTTCCTTGCTGTCATCCAAGTGCGGGAGAAACGCAATCTGTGGAAATTTTGGCATTTGTAACCCACAAGCCACTGATCCCTGTGAGTGCCTCCAAGGATTTGAGCCGTACGATGAAGATTCTTGGAAAAAGGGGGACACATCCGCAGGTTGTCGCAGAAAAACAGAGTTATGCAGTAACACGAGCAGTGATGGACTCGATGACGGCTTTTTACTAGTCGATGGAGTGGATTTTTCTTTGGATAGTCCGCTTGCGTTCAAAACTCAGAACGCATTCACATGTCAAAGAGATTGCTCAATCAATTGTTCTTGCGTCGCTTATGCTTACGATGTTACGGGTAGTTGCCTGTTCTGGCTTGATCGAGTGCTGAATCTGAAGAACATCTCGGTTGACTATGGAGATGATAATTATAGACCAAGTTTCTATCTCAAACTGGCTCGCTCTGACTTGATTAACAATGGTATGATGACGGCAACTCTTTCGACTTCGCATAATGGGTTTCACCTCCTTTTTTTAATTTCTTTTTGTCCTTCCTTTTTTCGGAAGATTATGCTGATTGCAATTTGATAATCGTTCTATGCAGAGTTGATTAATAATCCTGATCATAACTCTAGTCTGAGCCAGAAAGCGTTGCTAACAATTGTCATACTCATCATATTTCTTGTAATGCTTGCATTAGCCCTGTTTGCATACTACTGCCGGAGGAGAAAGCTTAGGAGAGAAGGTGAGAAAAATGTTTAAAGCTGTGAATATGAATGTTAATAATGTGAAGTTGCAAAAGTAGCTAACTTTCCTTTAACTTTCTAGGGGAGGATCTGCTAATGTTTGATACAGGCATGAGCATGAAAGTTGAGATCTCAGAGCTTACTGATGGCGATAACGTTGGAAAAGTTAACAAGAGGGATGTCAAATTGCCACTGTTTAGTTTTGCAAGTGTTTCCGCAGCAACCAATAAGTTTTCACCTGAAAATAAGCTAGGCGAGGGTGGCTTTGGACCTGTTTACAAGGTAAGATCCAAGTTTAAATCCTTTAGGTCCACAACAGTGCTACTTGAAATAAAATGAGCATGTTAAGATTAATTAGCAGGGTAAGCTGTTGAATGGGGGTGAGGTTGCTGTCAAAAGGCTATCTGCAAGATCAGGCCAAGGATGGGAGGAATTGAAAAATGAAGCAATGCTCATTGCAAAACTCCAACACAACAATCTTGTCAGGCTCTTGGGTTGCTGCGTTGAACGTGATGAAAAGATGCTTATTTATGAATTCATGCCAAACAAAAGCTTGGATGTTTTCCTTTTCGGTTTGTACTTTGCTATCTCAAAACTCCTCATAACTTGTATGTGGAATATTCTCATTTTATTTTAAACCGGCCTAATTTATGGTGATGCAAAACAGATGCAACAAAATGCAGGATTCTAGACTGGGAAACCCGAGTTCGGATAATTGATGGGATTGCCCAAGGTCTTCTTTATCTTCACCAATATTCTAGGTTTCGAATCATTCACAGAGATCTAAAAGCTAGCAATATTTTGCTGGATATCGATATGAATCCCAAAATATCAGATTTTGGTTTGGCAAGACTATTTGGTGGAAATGAATTACAAGCAAATACAAACCGGATAGTTGGTACCTAATAAGTATAGTTAGAAAATCTTATTAGTCTATAAAGAGAAATTTTTAAGTAGGTCAAATCAATTGCAAACAAATATAAAAGCATTTTGGAGGTATATTTCACTACTAATTATCTTATTTGTTTTATATTGGTGGTTTTCAGCGGTTATATGTCTCCTGAGTATGCATTAGAAGGTATTTTCTCAATAAAATCAGACGTATTTAGTTTTGGAGTTCTTTTATTGGAGATAATAAGTGGAAAAAAGAATACTGGATTATATCACACAAACTCTCTCAATCTTCTTGGATATGTAAGTATTTAGCTCAGATTTGATTATCTTATTTCTGTAAGTTCAGAATTGATTATACAAAAATTGTGATATCTAGAAGCTAGCAGAGATCAGTTACATTTTAATTTTGGGTGCTGTTTTTTCTGTGTGGCTTTAAAGGCATGGGACCTATGGACAAGTGGGAGAGGAACAGAGCTGATGGATTCAGCGTCAGAGGATGCATCCGTACAGAAAATTGTGGTGCGAAGATACGTGAACATAGCACTGCTTTGTGTTCAAGAAAGTGCAGAAGACAGACCGACCATGTCTGATGTTGTTTCAATGCTCGGGAATGAGAATATAGTACTACCTTATCCGAAGCCCATAGCTTTCCTAAATGTAAGAGGTATCAGGACTTCAAGATCAGACGGAAGCTCAGCAGAAACTGTTTCTACCAATAACATGACTGCTTCAGTTATGGAAGCAAGATGAGTTTGCATTTCCTTGTATGTATATTACTTCTTAGCAAACGTTGCAGGTTTGCATTATAGGATGTTTCTACTTCATTTTCTGTTATAACTCAATAAAATTGTATCAAAAATCAGGAATCAAGTAAAGGATTGACAAGGCAATCATAAGGATATTGTTTTTGATAACCCTTGCTTGATTAAGTGACTAAGTCAGCGACAAGTGTAAGAAGGCTGTTGTATTATTTACATAATGGCAAAAATTCTGCAGGTCGATACTCCGCCCTCTGCTCTGCTCACAAACATAGAGGGAGAAAGAGAAGATACGAATCAAAATTGAAACGTATTATTTTCTATATTGTTCCACCGATCCCAAAGCCGCCTTTTTGGATTCACAGGGGCTTGACAAATTTTAATGGCTTATGTTGACATGTCAAGTGTCTAGATTCATGTCATCCTATTATTTTATTGATTATAATAAGCATTCTTTTTTTTTTTTGGGGGGGAATACAAGGCTGCTTGCGAATTTGTGTCGGAGGCAACAAAGTTAGATCAGATTAGAGCTCCATGTATAAATTACTACGCACTAGCATCAGTGGCCTTGTATGCTGAACAGTGGTGAATCATAAACTTGTTTTGTTGAACGTCTCACGATTGGTATGTTGAATAGTCTGAAACATAGTCAATAATGACAGTCCAATCTTGTATCAGAAGATCTCTTATACTTTTGATGGAGTCTATAAAAGGGATGATTCAAGACAAAAAATTCTTGGTGAATAAATATGGCGACCTCCAACGAATTAGTGAACACACTGCCATAAGCATTTTAATAATACTCTTTCTTCTTAATATAAGACCTAATTATTAAGTTAATTTTGGTCCTACATATAAGAGATATTTATCATATTTATCAATTTTTTTTAAATTATCCCTATAGATATTCCCTCAACCATAATCAAGTCAAGATATTAAGGAAAGATATTTTAAGGAAATGATATATTTTCTTATAATTTTTTAACTAACTAACATAACTTCCTTAATCTAATCAAATTAGTTAAATATATCTTATATTAAGGACCGGGGAGTATATTTTTGTCATCTTCCTGCGGTAATGTTGGCTGACAATCAACATCAAGCCAAAAAGATAAAAGGAAAACCGATCATATTCTTATTGCTAGCTCAGGTACTTAATATAAAATGTATTAGGAGAATTACAATATCCCAAATAAGAAAAATAATTACTGGAAAGTCCTAATAACAATATAAACAGTTTTTAATGATAAGTTTTAGAATAGAAAATGATAACTTAGATTTGTAATTATTTTCCTTGCAATAATTCTTTCAAATGCATTTTTGCAGTGCACACTTTACTGTACGAAGTTTGCTCTACAATAGCCTTTTATTAAGAATTAGAATAACACCACAAAGTACCATTATTTTCTTTTTTTTTTTTTTTTAAAGATGCGACAGATAGAGTTTATTGCCTCGCGGCCCTCTTGATCTTGAATGTTCCTCCCAAGGCCGGGAGAGACTTGGGTAGCTGTTTTTTTTTTTTTGTCAAAGACTTTGGGTAGGTGAGGCAGCCGTACAAGACTTCTAACAAATTAAAGTTCAATTTTCCCTGTATTATTTATTATAATATTCCTTCTAAAGTTTTGTAATTGTGTTCAACTCAAAAAATATTTTTTCTTCCATGTAATTCCCTGTTCATTTCTTTCAAACTGTCAGTTCCAACCGTAATCTTTTGGTTGGAAGCACCGTGAAATTTGCATCTTAGTTGGAAGGTCAATTCTGAAACTAGAATCAAACTGAATAACTAATTTGATCCTCAAGGTTTTCAGGCACGGAGACCCTGGAGGCCTGGACTGAAGAGAAACCATTAGAAATTGCAACCTACAGATAAGTTCTTATGGGAAAGATGCATGAAAGTAAAATAGAAAATAGAGACATGCATAATATATTATAAAACATAATGCCGTGTGTATGTTTATGTGTGTGTATGTAGGGACATGGATTGCAGCTAGTTGGAGTATAAATAATCATTGGATTGAATTTGACCCATGTTAGTGGGGAATATCCTTTTGATACGTTTATTTTTCTCATTAAAGTACACTGCGATGCATGGTACAGACAGGTATAGATTGGTTTAATTAACATTGCAAAATTGTTAGAAACGAAAAAATCAGAATGTCTACAGTTCAAGGGCTGCTGCTCACGATGACTAACCATCTGCTTGAACGGGTGATGATTCTCTGCACTTCCTGGGCGCATGATGTTTTATCCCCTCGCCTGATCTTATTTTAGTCTCAAATACCAACTGACTCTTATAGTTCCTCTCCGATCTGTGCTGCTCTCTGCACTAAAATACCTCTCTTCATTATATTCTCTGCATCATTATCATCTAATCAACTCCACATTTGTCTGGTTGTTGCTGCAGTGGCCTCAAGTTAATCTTTGCTACTTTCTATCGATCTTCTTAGCGGCTAACTTCACCAAGATAAACCGGAATGTGGATATTCATTATGTTATTTTGGATTGAATGCGAATTTATGCTTATATTAAGAATTCCTTTTTTAAAATCCGCTTGCAAAGCGCCGAAAGACCAGTTCTTTGCTGTACTGCAGAAAATTCATGAAGTCGTGGAGAAATGAAGGTAGAATAAAGCATATTTATGGTTGACAAGTCAAACGTCTAGATTCATGTCATCCTATTATTTTATTGATTTTAATAAGCATTCTTTTTCCCCCATTGGAATGCAAGGGCACTCGCAAAGCCGTGTAGAAGACAACAAACTCGATCAGAGCTCAATAAATTCCCGTGGTGAATCATATAAAATTGTTGTATCGAACGTCTCAAGATAAGCATCTCGAACAGTCTAAACATGCACTCAATTATGATGGTCCAATCTTGCATTAGGAGATCTCTTGTATTTTTGATTGAGCTGTAAAAGGAATGATTCAGGAAAATTTTGTTATGAATAAATGTGGGGGTTTCCATCGAATTAGTGGACACACTGCCCTAAGCAATTTTGTAATATATGTTTGTCATCCTCTAGCGCCAATGTCAGCTGACAATTTCGGAGGAACCCGGTAGTACGAGGGAAATACAGGGAAGAAGATATGCGGAAAAATTTTAATGAGTTTTATTTAAAAAAAATTAAAGAATTGTCGTTTTAAAATTTTAATAGAAAGAGAAAGTAATATAAAAAATAATGAAAATTAATGAAAAATTTTTTATTTTATTTTTTTAATTTTTTAAATTGAGCTTGTTATAATTTTTCTTTTCCTCTCCCTTCCTCTATTTTCCTCGTATCAAACGAAGGCTAAGGCCTGATGAGTGATCACCATCAGGCTGACAGTGAAAAAAGAAGACCGGTCATATTCTTAATTTCTTTGTTTTTTTTTTTTAATGTGTCAGCTAGAGTTTATTTGCTCGCCGGCCTCTTCTTGACTGTTCTGCCCAAGGTCGTGAGAGATTTTAGGTGGTTGATGCAGTCGTTTAAGACCTCTAATAAATTGAGAATCAATTTTTCCCCATAATATTATTTATTATAATTTTCCTTTTAAAGTTCCGTAATTGTGTTTAACTCGGGAGAAAAAAAAGAAATTACTGTAATTCCTTGTTCATCTCTTTCAAATAGTCACCTTCAACCATAATCTTTTGGTTGGAAGCACACTGGAATTTACAACTTTTTGGAAGGTCAAAGCTGAAATTAGAATCAAACTTAGTAACTAATTTGATCCTCAAGGTTTTTCAGGCACGGAGAACCTGGACCGAAGAGAAGCCATTGGATCTTGTAACCTACAGATATGATTCATCCATGTGGTATTGTTATCTTTGTATCTAATCATATTATATGTTTTGGACGGAAGAAAAGAAAAGCAAAATTTATTCTATGCATTCATTCTTGACGTGGATATAAGCATGAAAGTAAAAGGAAAAAAAAAGAAAAAAGATATGCATAATATATTACTCCTCCGGTCCTTAATATAGGACCCAATTGGTGAGTTGGCTTTGGTCCTAAATATAAGACCCATTTCTCATATTTATCAATTATCTCTAAATTACCCCTATGGATACCCTTTCAACCATAATTAAGTAGAAGAGAAAGATGAGGTATTAAGAAATATAATTATGGTATTTTAGGAAAAACGTGTCATATTTCTTATAATTAACTAACTTACCTAACTTCCTTAATCTAATCAAATTAGTTAAATGGGTCTTATATTAAGTAGCGGAGGAGTATAAAATTTCTGTTGGGATGTGGATTGCAGCTAGTTGCAGTATAAATAATCATTGGATTGACTCTGACCCAGGGTTGAATGTGCTGTTGTTACGTCCTTTTTGTCATTAAAGTATAGTGCGATGCAGGGTGCAGACAGGGCCGAGTATCCTCTCTTCATTACGTTCTGTGCATCATTATCATCAAATCAATTCCACATTTGTCTATTGCAGCAATGGCCTCAAGTTAATCTTCGCCAATTTCTATCGATCTTCCTAGTGGCTAAGTTCAACGAGGTAAACCAGAATGTGGATTTTCATTATCTTATTTTAGATTAAAGAATTGCTTTCTTAAAATCCGCTTGAAAAGCGCTGTAAAGATCAGTGCTTTCCTGGACTGCAGGAAATTCATGAAGGCGTGAGAAATGAAGGCAGAAGAAAGCATATTTCCGGTTGAAGATGTCTCAAGCAGCAACAAATCATAAACTCACTGTTCACTGAGGCCCGCATCCTTGAATCCATTACCCCTTCAACCATCGCAGCCAGGTTTGTGTCTTGCTTCCTTGACCTTTACTGGGTGGCAAAAGCTATAGATTGGTGCATTGAGTGGTGATGAAGAACTTTATTGTACTGCTTATTTGCATTAGTTTGCTCTTTATAAGAACCTCCACTTCGTTAGACGGGATCACTCGGAGCCAGCCTTTAAGAGATGGGGAGACCTTAGTTTCAAGTGTAGGAGTATTTGCGATGGGCTTTTTCAGTCCTGGAAAATCGAAGAATCGATACTTGGGTATATGGTACAATCGTATTTCTCCTTTGACGGTGGTATGGGTGGCCAATAGAGAAGCACCAATCAGTGATGGCTCAGGAATTTTAGTATTAAACGATCTTGGAGTTCTTGCCCTGGCTGATGGCACAAATAGGACTGTTTGGTTGTCTAACAATTCTATAATGGCTGAGAAGCCAATTGTACAGCTCTTGGACACAGGAAATCTTATTATTAGTGACCAAAAATACAGTAATAAGGACCACTTCATATGGCAGAGTTTTGATTATCCCTGTGATACCTTATTGCCAGGAATGAAGCTTGGATTCAACCTAGTCACTGGTCTGAATAGGTTCCTATCTTCTTGGAAAAGTCCGGATGATCCTGGTCAAGGGGAACATATACTGAAATTAGACCCTCGAGGATATCCACAATCATTTCAATTGAGGAGAAATGTCATACATTTCAGGGCGGGATCGTGGAATGGCCTTTATTTTACTGGATATCCAGTTCAGAAACGAAATCCAGTATACAAGTCTAAGTTTATTTTCAACGATAAAGAGGCATATTATGAGTATGAACTCGTGAATAGCTCAGTTTACGCCAGAATTACAATGTCTCCTTCAGGCATTGGGAAGCGTTTAATATGGGGTAATCAAAGAGGCACATGGGAGATTATCTCAGCTAACATGGCTGATCAGTGTGACAATTATGGTTTATGCGGGGCATACTCTATCTGTGATTTCAGTAGCTCCAGGGTCTGTGAGTGCTTGAAAGGATTTGTACCAAAAAATGTGGAACAGTGGAATATATCAGATTGGTCTGGTGGGTGTGTTCGAAGTGCTCTATTGGATTGTAATAGTATAGATGGCTTCCGGAAGTATATGGTGTGAAATTGCCAGACACATCTTCTTCCCAGTTTAATAAGACCATGAACCTTGAGGAATGTCAGCAATTATGTCTGAGAAACTGTTCTTGTACAGCATATGCAAATTTGGATATCCGTGATAGAGGAAGTGGCTGCTTACTTTGGTTTAAAGATCTGATTGACATGAAGCAATTAATGCAAGGAGGACAAGACATTTTTATTCGCGTCCCTGCTTCAGAGCTAGGTGCACGCTTCTTCCTTGTTTATATTTTTTTCGTGTGTTTTCTTCCTATCTGATGGAAACCACTTCCAGAATTGATATTAGATCACAGATTATAATCCACAGCAGTTCTAATGGATTAAGGTGCACAGTGATGAAGTAGGAAAATCATAACCAAAGTAACACAGGAACCTAAAACCACCTCTAGCATTTGAGAGGCTAGAGGCTCTCCCACAAACCACTCACGTTCTGCTTAAACCCTCCCTTAACCTCACTCCCCAATATATACAACTAATAGCCTTTTATCTTCCTCTCAGTCATACAGCTCACACACTTCGTGCGATTTACTCTTGGCCCATTAAATAAGAGCCCGATAGCTATAGGCCTAACACGACCTCTTCAACCTTTATGACTCTTTTACTTGTTTGATCGTGATTCAGAGTGATCCCCAGTTCCCCACACCCACCCCCAAATGAAACGATGGGGGTAATGGAGAGAGAATTTCCATGATGATATTGATAGTCCTTTCAGTTCTGCTATATAACATTTGATCCACAAGCAGTAGCAACAATAGCTAAAACAAGTATATGGGAGTTAAAAACTTTTGGTATTTGATCATATGCGCAAAAAAAAAAAAAAGAAATTACATTTTCACTCACTGCCAGCTTTGTCTGAATCATCGAGTGATAATTGTATTTTGATTTAATTAGACCTTGTTCTCTTACCTGTAGTTAGCATCAATTGAAACATTGTGATTAAATTGGTCACTAATAATAGTCTCCATTTGGCAGACTTTTCTGAGAACAAACGCTATGGGAACACCAATAAGGGAAAGCTCCTAGGAATCGCTGTTGCTTCTGTTACAATAAACATGGGCATGATACTTATAATTTTTGGATTGATTAGATGTGTACGGAAAAGGAAACCCAAAAGGTCAGGTGAGCTTCAACATTTTCTAAGATCTGAGATAGGCACCCAGAAAGCACAGAAAAGGGATATGTTTTGTTATGGCAATTAATTTTTGGAATTCGTCATTTTACACCATTGCAGGGATGACAAAAATATATTATAGGAATCCTTACTACAATAACTTGAGAATGGAAGACACAGAACTACAAATATTTGATTTTTCAGTCATAGCTAAAGCCACTGATAATTTTTCAAGCACCAATAAACTGGGAGAAGGTGGTTTCGGATCAGTGTACAAGGTAATATAATATTTTCTTTTCTTTTTTTAAACCTGAAAGTGATATAACATTGTTCAAATAAGTGTATTTCAATTTTCTAAAGATTTCTAAGTATTCTATATGATGATTTGAAGGGCACTTTGGGACATGGACAAGAATTAGCCGTGAAAAGGCTATCTGAGAATTCTGTTCAAGGATTGGAAGAGTTTAGAAATGAAGTTTTGTTGATAGCCAAACTTCAACATCGTAACCTTGTGAAACTTCTTGGTTGCTGCATTGAAAGAGAAGAAAAACTGTTGATCTATGAATACATGCTGAACAAAAGTTTGGACCACTTTATTTTTGGTATGAACCTTTATAGGTTACACTTCAACATCTTTGGTAGTGCTCTGTTTTCTTTAGTTTTGAACACTAAGAACGTAGGAGTTATGCTAAACATGTCTCTCTAATTCAATAGATGAATCTAGAAACAAGTTGTTGGATTGGACAAAGCGTTTCCACATTATTAATGGCATTGCTCGTGGACTTCTCTACCTTCATGAAGATTCTAGATTGAGAGTTATTCATAGAGATATGAAAACTAGCAACATTTTATTAGATACAAATTTAAACCCAAAAATATCAGACTTTGGCCTAGCTCGAACATTTTGGGGAGATCAAATTGACGCCAAAACAAAAAGGATAGCTGGAACATAGTAAGGTTTCCTTTTCATGATTCATTGTCCTATGTTACTGTATTTACATAAAACTTATTTCAACTTGCACTTTTTTTTTATAGTGGTTACATGCCTCCTGAATATGCTGTGCATGGACATTTCTCGATAAAATCAGATGTTTTCAGCTTTGGAGTGATAGTGCTAGAGATAATAAGTGGAAAGAAAAATAGAGAATTTTCAGATTTAGAAAACTTCTTGAATCTTCTTGGATATGTAAGTATAATGATTTGACTTCATACCTGACTCATCAAATCAGAATATGGCTTTTACCTTACTAACATGATTCCCACTCTTTCAGGCATGGAGACTATGGAGAGAAGGAATGGCGATGGAATTAATGGATCAAGCCTTAGGAGAGAGATTCAATCCATCTGAAGTCATACAATGCATACAAGTGGGCCTGTTATGTGTACAACAAATACCAGAAGATAGACCCGACATGTCGTCTGTGGTTCTAATGCTGAACGGAGAGAAATCATTGCCCGACCCTCATGTTCCTGCTTTCTACATTGAAAGGAGAATACCTGAAGCAGATTCTTCCTCGGAAAAATGCAAACCTTCCTCACCAAATGAAATGTCCCTTACAACATTCGAGGCAAGATAGTGCACATAATGGCTTTACTTTTCAGAATGGGATTCGTTGATTATTCTAAATCAAAAGAATATTCAGATGGTATAATCTCTCATGTTAGTCAGCCGATCTAATTCTTACCTGGTTGTTTTCATTTGCGTTATGAGCCACTTGTTAAGCAGGAAAAAATTTCTCTAAAGATTTTTCTGCATTTTTCCTAGCCAAGCTGATTGAGATGACAAAGGCTAGATTAATTCATGAACTTTGTTTTCTATAATTCACCTAAAAGTATTTATTTCCCAAGAAAATTGAACATAGGATCGTATGGCTTCCAATAGGAAGATGATACTTTAAAATCGACGCTGCTTTTTGCATATGTTGCAAGTTCAAGCTCCCATAGAGAGCTTCTAGGGCACCTTTATTGTTTCGATAGGGGCATATTCCCTGATGGAACAAGATTTTGTTTGTAAAGTTCAGAAGAGATTTGTCAGGTCAGCTTGAACTTTATAACAGTTGCCTGGAACTAAAAGAGAATCTGCGAAAGTGAAAGACTTGGTGTGGTGGCAACTCTTATTCTTGGAGTAAAATACATTCATCAGTAGAAAATCACTCTGATTGTGCTGTAAAAGAAGATTAAGTCCTAAAAAACTTCTTGACATTCTATATAAACATCTAAACCAGCAGTTGAACCCCCGCCTGACTAAACTCGTCGTTGTAAGGGACGATGAAGGCACATTAGTTGCTCCGGTTGTCTCAGGCTATTTCTACCTGAGCCAGAGCGGCATTGTACATAGGTTCTTAATCAAAACTTCAAAACATCAAAGAAATTGGCCGAGTCGCACTCAACGAGCATCAGAGTATCAGCCTATTCTAACAAATATGCTTCACAACTGCTACATGGAATGCCATCTACCGAGGATCAATTGGACTAATTCAACATCATTTATTCAAGATGATTTATATACGCTTGATGATGAACTGCCACCTACTAAATCTTTCAGTTAAAACCCAGGCATCTAAGGTTGAGGTGACGAGGATTCACTACTCAGAATTATAACTATGGACAACATGCTTGGCCTTCTATTCAGTCGCCAATTCATCCAAAACAGGTTGAATATACTCTTATATCAACAAAACTAAACATGAAGACCCAGTAACCCATTAATTAATTGATAGTGCAAAGAACCTCAACTATTATAATCTGACAATTAACATAATTCAATATCTGATGTTTGGCATGAAGGGGAAAAGACCAGTGCAATCAAAGCCAGAAACGTAGTAAAAAAATGGTTCAAAACTTGTTTTATTGGGATTTTCCTCGTATTGCTGCAGATTTTTGCCTGATTAGAGTTGTCCCTTAGCTTTTTAGCGACAAATTTTGGACTATCGATTGATTTTTCGCACTTCCAGGAATGAATGGTGTGTTACACAGTGGTAAGCTTCTCTGGTGGAAGTGTGTAACACATCTTTCTCTTTTGGATTGCGAGTATTAACCACTATGATGAATATTATTTTTCATATTTGTATTTTGGTAACGACAAAGAAGACTAGAGCAGAGACTTGTTGCAAGCGATAATGTCATTGTTTATGGAGGAAGCAGTCAATATCAACAGCGCAGGGGTGGGTTCTAAAGGCATAAATATGGCTGATAGGTTAGATAACTGTCATCTGGAGGGGCCATATTCATTGATATCGGAGTCTTTTTTTTTTTCCCCTCATTCACGTGCAGATCAGCAAAGGCTGGCCATACTTAGGATCTCTGTGACTTGTCACCGTTCCCAAATTAATGCACCGATTTCTTTGTACTGTAACAGGTTACACACACACACACACAATAGGGTTACATAAATGTCTTTTGTTAACTGTTCTTGGGAAGCAACTTGGAGGTCATATTTCAAATTCATGTTGACTATTTGCGACATAATATTTAAATGCTCTGTTTTACTCATCCAAACCAGAGTAAGCATTTTATTCCACAGGGCCGTGGTTTGCCACGGGAAAATTTTTAGAAAATTACGAGAAATAACGTCGTCTACTATAACTTGTGCGTATTTCAGCGTGTTATTCTAAAAAATTTTGAAACTACCAAATATAAGTAAGAGGATGATTTTGAAGATATTACGTCGATGGAGGGCAACGGTCGGGTCAAAAGAATGATAAGCCGACTGCAACCTAGTTGAAAATTTTATGTGAAGGGAAAGAAGACGTTAATTTGTTAAAGGTTTACGGAATGAAAAATTTCTTTCGCTGCCGGTCTATCCATATTTATTATGGTTCTAAACTGCGGAGACTTAGTCTCATGCTCGCGCGCGTCTCCTTTGAAAGAAAGAACAGACTCTTCTTGAAAGCATATATTCTGTCCCTCTTCATTTTGTTCTTCTTCCGCTAATTTAAGCTTTTTATTAGTAATTATCTAAACTGAAATGAAAATAAGAAGGGCAATAGGATATTAAAATTTAGGCTCGTTCTTCCTGAACCGATTGGATATATCTGGATCCTTGAATCAACAAATTCTGAGACTTTTGTAAGATATCTTATCTGCCAAAAAGTTAACTAGTGTTGACGTTTGGAGCTGGGGAAAACATACGACCAGTGAAAAGGGGAAGCATCAATGGTCAACAGGGATATAGTACTCCCATAGTCCCATTAAATGAAACCCCTTTCCACGGTAATTTTCTGACTCGGTCTCGCTATTCCCCTGTTTGAACCGGAAACAATCAACGCGACGCATTCATTTTAGTCTTCTACGATGAATGTGGCCTCCAAAGTAGTTGTTTTATCTCCTTAAAGTCCATTCCAATTCGAAGTTCGAATCACAAGCTAGAATATTCATCAAATTCTAGCTTTTAAATTCCCGCCAGTATCTCTTCAACAATTGCACCCGCCTAGCCATAAGAAAAACGATGGAAAGCTTCAGAAAGCTTTCTGTGTGTTTTTTGTTACTATGCTTCACAAGCATGTCCTCCACGCTGGACATGATAACCCCAGACCAACCCCTGCGTGATGGCCAGAATAAAAGTCTGGTTTCAGATAGGGGAATCTTCGAAGCTGGATTCTTCAACCTTGCAAATTCAAAAAGCCGTTACGTGGGAATTTGGTACAAAGACATTCGCGAAAAAACGATCGTATGGGTGGCCAACAGAGAAAACCCACTCCACAGTGCCTCAGGAGTTTTGCAGATAGACAGTGATAAAGGAGTTCTTAGAATCTTGGACAGCAAAGGGATCGAAACTTGGTCCTCGAATGCATCGCAACAAGCAGAGAACCCAGTTTTGCAGCTTTTGGATTCAGGAAACCTAGTTCTGAGAGATGAAAAGAACTTGAGCAGCATACTATGGCAGAGCTTTGATTATCCAGGCGATACTTTTCTCCCTGGTATGAAAATTAGAAGCGACATAAGGACAGGTAAGTATATGGGTCTGACTTCCTGGAAGTCACTGGAAGATCCTACCCCTGGTGAGTATTCTATGCACATAGATACTAAAGGCCTTCCTCAGCTAGTTGTCACAAAGGAAAAAAAATGACATACAGAGCAGGACCGTGGACTGGGCTTGGTTTTACGGGGACCCCTGAATTGAGAACCATCAAATCCGTGAAATTTATTTTTGAGCTAAGTAAAGATGAAGCCTCCTATGAATATACTGTTCTGAAGAATGCAACTCTAATGAGAAGCAGACTGACGCCACAAGGATATCCACTACGTTTGACATGGTCTTCTCAGGAAAATAAATGGGAATATTTCTACCCTAGCCAGTTCGATCAGTGTGAAAGCTATGCCTTGTGTGGTCCAAATACTAATTGCACCGGCGGCACTGACCCTAATTGTAAATGCTTGACCGGATACACAGCAAGCACGTCTGGTGGGTGTGTTCGAACTACTCGACTTGGATGTGGAAGAGGAGATAGCTTTCAAAAGTACCAAAGGATGAAATTGCCGGACACATCTGCTTCCTGGTACAACACTACCATGAGTTTGCAGGAATGTGAAAAACTATGTTTGAGAAACTGCACTTGCGCGGCATATTCTAATTTGAACATCAGTGATGGAGGAAGTGGCTGCTTGCACTGGTTTAATAACATTGTCGACTTGAGAGAACTCAAAGAGGGAGGACAAGACTTCTACATTCGAGTATCTGCAGTTTCAGGCCTAGGTATGTGCGTATTATTCATATAATATTGTGTTTCTCGATAGCATGCTCGTGTGTGGATTATATTCAGAAGATCTCAGATTCTGCAGTGAAAAATGGCATGGACAAGAGGAGGCTTGCAGGAATTGTGATAGGCTGCGCTACATTAATCATCAGCATAGTAATACTCGGATTGATAATTAGGAAGAAGCTCATGCATCCAGGTGATCAATTCATGACCACTAGATTGCGTTTTTTTTTTTTTTTCCCTTTCAAGAAATGATGACTAGATTTGGAATATCTGTGATCTCATACTTTTAGCAGGAGAACTTATATGTAACTTTATGACAAGATTAATATTTCATTTTTCAATTAAAATAAGGCGAGTACATATAAGTTTAATAATATGACAGGTGAGTGGGATTTTGTGGTTGTGGTTAAGTCTGAGGTCTTTTACCACTTAGAATCATTGATTGAATGTTTTGAAAAAATGTTTAAATATTTTATAATTTTATTGAAAATCTTGATGGCAAATATACAGAGAAGAGAACCTAAGTCTAAACATTTTTAACGCGCACGCAAACACATACATTCTGCCTTTAGATTTGGTAGTTCTTATTTGTTCAATAATCAATTATATAAAGAACTCACCCTCCGGCCACCATTTCAGGGAAAGCAATTTATTGGAGGGACAAGAATGACAAAGAAGACATTGATTTGCCAATATTTGAATTTTCAACCATTTCTAATGCCACAGATCAATTTTCAGAGAGGAATAAGTTGGGACAAGGTGGTTTTGGACCGGTGTACAAGGTAACAGATCTATAATTGACCAAGTATTTCTTTTCCTGAATCACCAAACTTTTAATTTTCACAAAAATGTTGCACAGGGCGTACTAGTAGATGGACAAGAGATTGCAGTAAAGAGACTCTCCAAAACATCAGGACAAGGAATGGATGAGTTTAAAAACGAAGTTTTATTGATTGCAAAACTCCAACACCGCAATCTTGTAAAGCTTCTTGGTTGTTCTATTCAACAGGGAGAAAAGTTGTTGATTTATGAATTCATGCTTAATGGAAGCTTAGACTACTTTATTTTTAGTATGAACTCTATACACTCTGTGGCTTTTATATCACTAATTTAATAAATTTTATTTAGTAGTTTCCATGCTAACTTGAAAGGTGAAATATGTCAGATTCAACAAAAACTAAGCTACTAGATTGGACTAAACGATTCATATTATTGATGGGATTGCTCGAGGCCTTCTCTATCTTCATCAAGATTCAAGATTGCGAATAATCCATAGAGATCTTAAAACCAGCAACATTCTTCTTGATATTAATATGAATCCAAAAATATCAGACTTTGGACTTGCTAGAATTTTTGGAGGAGATCAAGCTGAGGCCAACACAAATAGAGTGATGGGAACATAGTATGTATTTAATTAATTTGTTTTTTTTTTTGGTGCAAACCCTTTTAACTTCTCTTTTCTTTATTATATTACAGTGGTTATATGCCTCCAGAATATGCAGTGCATGGATCTTTTTCTGACAAATCTGATGTCTTTAGTTTTGGAGTAATGGTATTAGAGATAATAAGTGGGAAGAAGAATAGGGGATTTTGCGATCCACATTATCGTCTTAACCTTCTGGGACATGTAGGTTTGATGAATAAGTTCCTTCAGTTGCAACTAATTATGAGAATTATACTTCTCATTTGTTTGTGGCTATTGTTTTCCTTTTCAGGCATGGAAACTATGGATTGAAAAAAGACCCATGGACCTAATGGATGAACAACTGCAAGATTCAGTTATTTCATCCGAGCTGTTAAGATGTATTCAGGTGGGTCTATTATGTGTGCAACAAAGACCGGAGGATAGACCCAACATGTCCACTGTGATTTTAATGTTGAATGGTGAAAAGTCACTTCCTAATCCAGGAGAGCCTGGGTTCTACATTGGAAGTGATAATCAACCCTTAGCAGATTCTACTATAAGAAGCAGCGGAGAGTGTTCAATTAATGAAGCTTCCAACTCAACATTAGAGCCAAGATAGAATGCCAAAACAAGCTTGAACCTTCCTATGTCTCAAATTCCATGTAATGTCTCCAAATAAATTTAATTTCCATAAGCTGATGAAAACGAAGAGGTCGATGACATTAGGGGCGCGCAACAAGTCCATCAAATTGATGTATATAATGTCAGTGTGCAATGAATGTGATAGCTTATAATGCATCATTTTGTGTAATTATACCTGACGTTGGAAGAAGCATATGCTGGTTCTACCAAAATTGATGATACATTCACAGCTGCATGAGCTATAACACGTCAAGACTAGTGAAATTACAAGAGCCAAAAAAAAGAAGAAGAAAGAAACAGAGAGAGGTCCTATAAAGTTGATAGCCAAAATCTGAAAAAATCTCTTGATTAAATTCACAGTATTAGGAAGTTCAGTGACTCTAATCAATTGTAATTGGGAACCAACGTAAATAACTCGGACCCAAGTTAGAAATAGATGAAGAGGTGAAAGAGGAGTACCTCAGGTTGGGCAATTTGAGCAATCAAGCCACTTATGGATCCCATTGACATCCATCAATCTTTTCGAAATAAATATGGATTGGGATGAGTGAATTAAACAGCAAGGTACACGCTTGTTGTGGAGGCAAAGGAGGTTGGGAAACAAAGACATGTAAAGCGATGATGCTTACAGAACAACCTGTCAAGGTCAATATAGGATAATGACAGGTTAATCAATTTTAATGCAAGGCATAATTATACAAGGCTCACATCATTGGTGTAATTAATCGCGAGGGGCCATTCGTTGATGTTTGAAGTACTGTTACTTCACATGCAGAGCCAAGCAAACGCGTGGGTAACTGATGTAATTAAGAGCCTGTTATATGTCAGTGCTCACAGGTTAATGCGTCAATTTCTTTTTAATAGCAATGACGGCAAGCAGTACGTCGTAGCAATATTGCGAGCTAGTGCAGCAAAATTTTTTGCCAATACATCTTATTTAGCTTAATGCAGCAAAAAGAAGTTAACTTTTTTCTCTTTGGAACAAAGAAAGAAGTCAGGTAGAACCGTACAAGGAGCTAAAGAGATGGATGGACATTAAAAATTCAAAGGGACTTTGTAACAAGCAGTATAGAGTGCTCAGATTCATAATAGAATTGCAGAAAGGAATGAATGGGGAAAATGACATGCTTAGATCACATACCATAATACGACGTAATCGGCTATAGATGGATGAACAGGCACAGTCACAATCAAAGGCACAGAAAGAGGCCATTATTGTGGATTTGGATCGATCTGAGGTTGCCAAGATGTGGGAGGGAGCAGTAATCAGCTCAGACAAAGTAATGGTGAGTACGAAGTTTAACCACTTTTG